TTTTCCTTTTCTCAGTCAGCTGAGATCACATTCTTCGTCTGTCTGAAGACCCCTTTGACCTTTGTCCGGGCTTCCACCTTTTCCGGTCCTCCGACCTTCCCATTTTTTCTTCCAGTTCAGTCACTACGATTAGTTGACAAAACTCCGAGGTAATCCCCGGTCGTCGAGCCGAAGTCCTGGCCCAGGTACATATGTATGTACATGGTTACTTGCATGCCCGACGTGTCGGCTGACTTCCGTCCTTGACGGTTGGAACCATAGTCTAGCCCCCTAAGCAGGCGGGAAACATTGAAGAATGACGAGCCGCCGCTGTACACCAGTGTCCAATGAAAGTTGTATGTCACGCTCGGTGTACACTTTCCTCGCCACGCAGTCAAGGGTGCTGACAGGCTACTTTCTGGTGTCTCGTGTCTGAAGTCTGTCGGAGACTTGGAGGTGAGGCTATTGACGACAACCCGACCACCCACCAAACGCGCTTGCGATAATCTGCCTTGGTTTGTGCCCAGTTTCCCTTTCAGGCGTCTTCCCTCCCTGGACTTCCCCATGCTTCCCAACTATTTAGCGTCATCCTTACCACGAGGGGGCGGACCCACGGTCGGTCACCAGACTGCAGAGTGCGTCACTGGACTGGCTGATGGACAACTCACATGCGCGCACTAATAATATGCCATTATCTGGTGCCTCAACTTGTCCTCAAGACTCGACATCCTGTTGTGTTATTGTCTCTGGTATCTATATCTTCTCCGTGTCGCGTGCGCGTGTCCTGCCTCCTTCACCCCTACGAATCGCTCGACCTAATCACATCAACTGCATTCACCTGAATAGAGTCCTAATTGCACACCAAACTTCACGAGCCGCCCGACGTTCAAGCTTGACCAAACCCTCACGCTCTTGGCGCCAGTCTACACTGTTTCATCTACGAACTTTCAAAAGATCCTTCTTTTATTTCTTCTTTTATTGAGGAACCGATTGACTTTGACTTGTTCGCACAGAGCAGAAAGCTGGGTACAGGATCAATGATGGGATAGAATTCCTTCTCACGCAATACCCTGGTTTTCCATTTGCCTGTTCGCACTTTTCCACAGGGGTGGAAATGGGGGATCTTCTCCTCCAGACACACACAGCTGGAGGCCTTCACGGAGCTGGTTCCAAGTCAGTTTTGTCTCCTCAAGCAAAATCTGACAACTCTCCATCCCACCTAGACAGCGGCCGCACAATTCGACAGGTCGTCTCGAGGACGCTCCGAGATGCGAGCAATGCATTTCTTTCTTGGCAGGACGGGTTGAGCCCCGAAGACCGTGAGGCTGTTCGATTACGGCACCAGAAACGAGAGGACTCCTTAGGGGAAATGAAATCTGTCAGTGCGAGTGAAATTCAATTTCCTGTGGGAACATGGCAAGACAAAGAAAAGTTCTGCGCTAATGTTGATATGATCAAACAGGCCGAAACATACCAGCAATGGAGTGCTGCTGCGTCAGAACTCGATCAGCTCGATGGCAACGACAGATGGAAGCATGACACAGAGGATGGTGAATATGACTTCTTGCTCATTCAAGAGCGCTTGAGTGCGCTCGACGAAGCACGAGCAAGTGGAGATGTTCGAGCCACTATGCATCTGATCCGAACAGAATTAAGTCGAGGCCTGGGAGGTATGGACAACGTCGACCTGTATCGTCACTCATACATTGGCACCAAGAAGCTCATCGAGCGCTACGTTGACTCCGCGATCCAATCGATTGACGCTCTCGTTTGCCAGAGCACCTTCAAATATCACGACGTTCCAATAAAGGATCTTCTGGAAGCAATGCTATACTCGCGGCAAAGTTTTGGCCGCAGCGCGCTGTTGCTCTCGGGAGGCGGCACATTTGGAATGACACATATCGGTGTGCTCAAGGCGTTATTCGAGCAGCAGCTTCTCCCCCGCATCATATCGGGTTCCAGCGCGGGGAGCATCGTGTGCGCCGTCATGTGCACCAAAAATGATCAAGAGATCCCGGAGCTCATCCAGGCATTCCCATTTGGCGACTTGGCCGTCTTCGAAGAAGAAGATAGTAGCTTGGGTATCTTGGGACATCTACACCGTCTGCTCACGGAGGGAAGCTGGTGCAACATTGACAACCTCAAGAGAGTCATGCGAGGCATGATGGGCGACATGACGTTTCAGGAGGCGTACAATCGAACCCGTCGCATTCTCAACATTTGTGTATCTACTGCATCAATCTACGAACTTCCCCGGCTACTCAATTACGTCACTGCGCCGAATGTCATGATATGGTCGGCTGTTGCTTCATCGTGCTCTCTACCCTTGGTATACAAGTCTTCCCCATTACTCGTCAAAGACCCGGCAACAGGCGAGCATCATCCTTGGATCCCCACTCCTCAGCACTTTATTGACGGCTCCTTGGACAACGATTTGCCCATGACGCGCCTCGCCGAAATGTTCAATGTCAACCATTTCATCGTCTGTCAGGTGAACCCACATGTGGTCCCATTTTTATCAAAAGTCGACGTTCTTCCACAGGATCGCCGACTTCAAAAGCTGGATGGTTCCCATTCCGACGGGAAACTCGATTGGGAAGACACGCTGACCACATTGGCCAGGGACGAGGCTCTGCATCGATTGCAGTTCATGGCCGAGCTTGGTATCTTCCCCAACCTCATGACCAAGTGCCGAACCATACTGAATCAAAAGTACTCAGGCGATATCACTATCTTACCAGAGGTCGCCATGAATGACTTACCGAAAGTACTGACCAATCCCAATGCCGAGTTCATGATACGGTCCTGCATCGCCGGCGAACGAGCAACGTGGCCCCGACTCAGCCGAATTCGCGATTGTTGCGCAATCGAGCTCGCGCTGGATCGCGCAGTCCACAGCCTACGTGCCCGGGTAGTCTTTTCTGAAAGTCAACGGAATTTACGAGCGCTTGGCACAGGTCCGGGGAACCTCAAACTCGGTAGCAGCGTGGTACCCACTGCCTTTAGCTTGCAGTCGCCCGCTGCTACTGTGGTCACGGGGCACTCGGCTTCTACTTCTGCCAGCAGAAGTCAAGTCCACAAACGCAGGCGCTCCGGGGGCAGCTTTCAGGCCTCACATGACGGGCGCACTATCCTAGGTATGAGCAACACAGAAAATCACGCTGTTGCTCAGGAAATCAGCGAAATGGTTAGTCGGGGCCAAGCCGACGCTCGCACTCCTACGTCACTGTACAAGCCACGCCTCCAGCGAGCAAGCAAAAGCGTCACCAACGTGTTCCAGCACAAAGTACCTGCCAGCACTGCAGCCGCACACGACTTCGACGACGATGCAGTCTTCGACTCTTCGCGGCACCTCACTGAGTCAGACGGTCTCTCTAGTGTCACACTGCCTGGCTGCAGCAGACAGAATGATATGCAACCGATGACCCCGCGACTGTGGTCGGAGCAAGCAGAACTGGAAGGGCGCAATGCCATATCGCCCGCTGACGATTTGGACACGAGCGAGTTGGGCCACTCGAGTGACGCGGATGTAGAGCAAGTAACCGAAGAGAGTGATCCAGACCTCTACAACTCTCCATATCGAAATGCGCTGCCTGAAAGCGACAAAAAGGCTATCAACGGGCAGGTATGACGATATGGCAAGGTCAACTGATGTCTTGGACTATAAGCATGCGTATGCCCCGCGGCGACTTTTGATATGTTCAGTGGGCGTGTGTTTCAAATAGATACGATTCTCGTTGCGCTTGGGGCACATACATACAGCAAGACCGGATTCGTATTTCATTTCACGCAACGTAAAGTATAGATGGCCTGGCAATCGAATCTGAAGGGTAGGTCAGCGTGATATCCCTGTGTTGGCTTGTTGTCATTTGGAGTGATCAGAAGCTCGGTATAATGATTCAAGTCGCCCATGACGCATAGCATACATTTCAACGATCGCAAGGCCTAGGCCACCATGAGGATTGGAAGTTCACGTGTGACGGAAGAAGGAGACGATACGACCGCCAAGTTAAAATAAAAGTTTATTTCATAAGAATAAACTTTGAGGCTTCATTGCAATGTTCAACATAACTCAAGCAATACTCCGTAGGTACCTAGTCACTGATATAAGCCTGTGAGGAGTCTAAGGACGTGAAGAAAGCTGTGATGTGAGGTGACATACCTTTATAATAGTCATTTACCGCAGAAATTCCAACACTGGATATACACCGGCCGCGTGGCCTAATGGCTAAGGCGCTAGATTTCGGTTCCCTTCCGATTCTCTAGAGATTCCAGGTTCGACTCCTGGCGCGGTCGTTACATCGCACTTACACAAGTGGACGTTCTCAGGGTCACAGTGATAATTTTTTCTTTTATCGCCTTTCTCAAACCAAACCGAAGGGTCCCTGGCAAGCAATGGTTATTTTTGCTCGTTTCGATGCCCCTTTGCACTCCATAGTCCATGCACGTTATAAATTTGAGTCTTATTGCTACGCCTGATATGAGCATCAAATGGGCGGTTCGTGCTCTGGAATTGGGGTCACGGCAATGAATGCGCAGCTGCATAGGTCATCATCCATCACAAGCCCATACCCTAAAGCTGAGTTGATTTTTTCTGAAGCCGCTGTTCTGTGACTTCGGGACCTTTCTGAAGGTAGTAGAAGCGACAAACTTCTACAGAGACATCTGCGCCTAGGCGCCCCCTCAATTTTTCTGCATTTGTTCTTCTTCTGGTTTTCTTTCGCTATCTCTTCTTTTCTGTATTTTTAGCTACCGCGTGCCGTGGAGGCCGCCTCTGACTCACTGGATTTGCGGCCATGCCTCTGGC